GCATTTAGGAGAAAGGGGTGCTGGAGACGTGTTCCCCCTCCTTCCCTTCTCTGAAATGCAGTGCTCGTCCCATCTTTGGTCCCACTGGCTGTCTCCTTATATAGTATTAAACTCTATATGCTGGCACATTCCTTGCACACACGCAGCCTCACCCTCCATCCGCTCTGATCTTCGTTACTTTCTTTCAATCTCTGGGGCTCTTACCTCTCATCAAAGCCTCATTCATACCCAGCAGTCCCCCTCCCCAACATCAATCATTCCTAAGGTCACACAGACATTGCACACTAAGAGGTCCCTCCCAGTCTCTGACAACCACAGCCTAACCTGCCCTCTGCCAAACTCTGCTTCAAACTTTATTGGACATTTTTATCAAAGTACTTGGTTATGTTTACCCTGCAGTCATTATTACAGTATCCTCACCCTATAACTGTACCTATCACTGCTCTATTACAGGACCCCTCACCCTATAACTGTATCTATCACTGCTCTATTACAGGACCCTCACCCTATAACTGTACCTATCACTGCTCTATTACAGGACCCCTCACCCTATAACTGTACCTATCACTGCTCTATTACGGGACCCCTGGCCCTATAACTGTACCTATCACTGCTCTATTACAGGACCCTCACCCTATAACTGTACCTATCACTGCTCTATTACAGGACCCTCACCCTATAACTGTACCTATCACTGCTCTATTACAGGACCCCTCACCCTATAACTGTACCTATCACTGCTCTATTACAGGACCCTCACCCTATAACTGTATCTATCACTTCTCTATTACAGGATCCCTCACCCTATAACTGTACCTATCACTGCTCTATTACAGGACCCCTCACCCTATAACTGTACCTATCACTGCTCTATTACGGGACCCCTGGCCCTATAACTGTACCTATCAGTGCTCTATTACAGGACCCTCACCCTATAACTGTACCTATCACTGCTCTATTACAGGACCCTCACCCTATAACTGTACCTATCACTGCTCTATTACAGGACCCCTCACCCTATAACTGTACCTATTACTGCTCTATTACAGGACCCCTCACCCTATAACTGTACCTATCACTGCTCTATTACAGGACCCTCACCCTATAACTGTACCTATCACTGCTCTATTACAGGACCCCTCACCCTATAACTGTACCTATCACTGCTCTATTACAGGACCCCTCACCCTATAACTGTACCTATCACTGCTCTATTACAGGACCCCTCACCCTATAACTGTACCTATCACTACTCTATTACAGGTCTCCTCACCCTATAACTGTACCTATCACTTCTCTATTACAGGACCCCTCACCCTATAACTGTACCTATCACTGCTCTATTACAGGACCCCTCACCCTATAACTGTACCTATCTCTGCTCTATTACAGGACCCCTCA